AAAGATATACTCCTGTATTTTCTTCTAAGAGTTTTAAGACACTTTCTCACTTTTTCAAAATAACCATTTCAAATCTTTTTCTCTCTCCCCTAAACCTTCTTTGCCGCCTGCCCCCAGCTTAGCTGATGACCTCCGCTCCTTTTTGTTGAGAAAATAGAAGCACTCAGAAAGAAATCCCTTTTCTTCCAGTCTTCAGATCTGTGAATGCCCATGTCTCTCCTCAGCCTCTTCGCTGTGTGACTAACGGGTCGGCCCCTCGCCTGAGCTCTGGGTTCCCCTTCCTCCCTCTCTCCCTTCTGGACCTCACTGCTTCTGTCCCCATCTTCCTGTTTGTGTCCGCATGCTTTGGTGTTCCCATCTTTAAAAAACCATCCTTTGGCTCCAAATGTCTCTACTCCCCCTCACAGCAAACTTGAGGCGTTTTCTCGCACATTTTCTCCATGTCTCACCATGAATTCCTCTTCAACCCCCTCCAATTGCTCGTGTTCCCATCACTCCGCTGAACAGCTTTGATCAGATCACCAACTACCTCCATATTGCCAAGTTCAGGGTCAAGTTTTCCTTATTCAACCTCAGCAGAATTAGCCAGTTTCCACACCCTCCTCCCCAAAGCTGTGCTCTCTCAGCTTCCGTGATACCATTCTCTCCTGGTTACCTTCCTGGTTATCTGCTCTGTTTTCTTGTGCCAGCTCCCCCACTTGACTCAGCTTCTAAATATTGGAGTGCCTCCGAATTAAGACCTGGGTTTTCCTCCCTGTCAGTACTAGGTAACCTCATCCATTTCCATGACTTTTAAATATTTGTGCTGACGACTTGTAAATGTGTATCTCCAACTCATGCTGGTCCTGTGTGTTCCACACTGGTGGGTCTGACCGCTTCTTTAATAATGGATAGCTCTAGACACCCATTCCCAAAACTAACATGCTCTGTACTCTGCTTCTCTTCATCCCAGTAAATGACTCACGTCCATCCATTCACTCAGGCCCCAAACCTCTAGGGGTCATTTATATTTCATCACCTTCCACATCCAGTCCCTCAACAAGTTCTGCCTGTTTTACCTCAGAAATACAGCTCAAATCTGCCCACTCCTCTCCTTACTGCCCCCATCCTTATCTAAATGAGCATCATCTCTCTTCAACCTCCATGTTAGCCTCCGAAGGAGTCTCTCTGCCTGCCATCCTGCCCCATCCCAAACCATTTTCTCTATACACAATAAAAGGCTTCCTCTTTTTAAAATATATCGTGTTATTCCCCTGCCTGACATTCTTTAGTGACTTAATCATTTCACCTGAGGTAAAATCCAAGCTCCTTGCCTTGCTCAATGAAAGTGCTCCGTGGTCGAGCTCCTTCCAGTCTCTGCATCCTCATCTCGTGCCACTGTCCCCTTCTTTACTCACTCCATACCGTCCACACTGGACTTCCGACCTCCTATGCAGGTTGCGTACTGCACACCTCTAAGGGGCGCCATTCACATGTGTGTCATTGGAGGTTTGAGTATTTCTTATGACAGTTTTCCAGCAGATGGCAGTAAAGCTCATGAGGACAGCGTGGCTTTTTCTGATTTGCACAAAAGTAGGTTTACATTTAGGTTGGTATCTCTATCTCTTTTCTCTTCTCTGATACATCAAGGTCTTTTTCTCTCTGGGCCTCAGCCTTATCCTCTAAGCTTTTCTTTCCTTTTCTCTGTCTTTCTTTCATATATTTCAAACTTAAAGAAATGCAAGCATGGTACAAAAATACTCCCCTAGAACTTTTGCTCTAGTTCGCCAGTTGTTAATATTTGTCCACTTTTGCTTTATCCCTCTCTCTAGATACATGTTTTTTCCTCAACCATTTAAGAGCTGGTTGAAACATCCTGCCCCTCTATCCCTACATACTTTGGAGTGTGTGTTTTTTTTCTAACAAGAATTTTGTTTGTTTTACATAGCCATAGTATACTTAATCAAATTCAGGAAATTTAACATTGATACAGTACTTTTATCAATTACGTAGTCCACATTCAAATTTTGCCAGTTGAAGGCCGGCCAAGTGGCGCGTTGGTTAAGAGTTGGCTTGGGACGCCAGCTCTGAGCATCAGGGCCCCGGTTCGGATCCCACGTGAGTGTCAGTGACGCTGTGCCCTCTACAGCTAAAATGGTGAACAACAACTCAACCTGGAGCTGGGCTGCAGTGAGTCGCCAGCGACGGCGTAGGCTGCTGTGGGCTACCGTGAGCGGCTGGCAGCTGGCGTGAGCGGCAATCCAATGGGGGCGAGCAACTGCCTCAGCTAGGAAGAGCGCAATGATCATAATACCAACATGAGCCAGTGAAGCAACGTCCTCCACAACTAGACTGAAGAACAAAAGGACAGCAACTTGTCTGTTCCCCTTCCCCAATTCCCCAACGCTGTTCCCCTCTCCCAATTCCTCTATAAAATCTTATAAAAAAAAGAAATTTTTGCCAGTTGTTCCAATGCTGTCTTTTATAACTGTTTTTACCCCCGATCCAACGTCCAGTCTATGATCATACTTTGCATGGATGTGCTGTCATGTCTCCTTACTCAACTTTGATCTGAAAAAGCTCCTCAGCTTTTTTTTTGTTTGTTTTTGTTTTTTTTTGTTTTTTTAAAGATTTTTTTTT